TTTTCTACTTCAAGTTTGTTTAGTTTTGGTGATTTTTATTGGTGAGAGGCTCATGATTCGAGGGTCTGATTCTCATTGCTACTAAATTTGCTCAGCCTGTCTTTGTTATGGCAAAGCTACTAAAGCTATCTCTCTTTTTTTTTTATTCTTCTTCTACATAGCATGTATGATTTGAAGAACACTGTACTAATCAATTAATGGGGCCATTGATTAACTGATTAACAATTACTAGGGATGCACAGGTACCCGGCCAGGTATTGGGCTACCTGGTAACAGTCAGCTCTGACCAAGTGTCAAAGTTAGGCATTTAAGCTCTAATCTTTGTGGCAACTATAGTGGTATTGAAAGTTACAGTCAATAACTGGTTTAGCTTTAAAAAAAACTTGTTCCGAACAACAAAAACTGACTTCCTGCTGAAAGTCAGGGATTCAGAGAATAATGGGGTTAATAACAGGCATGGCTTGAGAAGTGGATTTCTGGGGAAGGTGGGGGTTTTGAGAACAATAGAAGTTAGGGTTTGAGAAGTTGGGGTTATATGGTAGATCAACAGACAGAGGGCAGGTAATAATAAAGAATTACCTTGAAAATTATAGACCAATTAATGTTACTCCTGTAGTAGGAAAAATTCTAGAGAGTCAGATAAAAGAAGTTTCCCAAAATCATCTACTGAAGTATGAGATCATAAAAAATGTGAACATCAATTTACTCAAAGATAATATCCCCTTATTAATCTATTAACTTTTCTTGAGGTTTTTATGTGTTATCTAGATGATAGAAAGGGTGTGGACTTTGTGAACTGAGATGTTTAAAAAGCTTTAAATAATATGTCACATTAAAGATTAGCTAAGAAAACCATTCCACTGGGAATTGGGGAGAGTCCAATAAACTGAATTGTGTGATAGCTGAACAAGAGAAAGCAAAATGTTGTTAATCGAGTCTAGTAAACTGGACCCTTGTTATTGGTGGAAAGCTTAGAGGTTAGTGCTTGAGCATTTGCCTTTTTTTTTTTACATTAATGATATTGATAGGAGCATAAGTAGTAAAGTTTTCTGATGACATTAAACTCCTGAGTATTTCCAGCTATATTAAGGGTGTTGAGGTACTTCAGAATTACTTGGATGAATTACTTAGTTGAACAAATATTTGGCAAACGACAATGTATCAAATTGAATTACAAAAGGCGAAAGATTAGACAAAAGTATTAGAAAAAGTCCAATTCTTGTTGAAATCTAAACTGTATACGAGGTAGAATGTCTGGAGGTTTGATCTTTCTATATATATATCATTAATATGGACAAAATCAAAGTCTTCTTCATCAGACTATGCAAATGTATTCCCCAGAAGTATTTTCTGAAATGTAACTTTGAATTTTCATGGATCCATTTCTTCATATTCCTGCTCAATGAACTGTTTCAACCATTTTCCACAGGGAAATGTGACAACTATCCAATCACCAATGGCAATTTTTGCAGGATTTAGTTGTATTCTATTTTCATTATTGTTTTCAGAATCAGAATCAGTTTTGTGTCCTGCAGAATCAGAGCTTTCAGGTTCTTTTGTCTTTATTATCAGAAGCTTTATCCTCCTCACTGGATGCACATTGATAATAGTCAGGCAAAGTAACCCCAAAACAAAGAACGAATTGATAGATATTTTTTAAAATAATACTCAGGTGTCATATGGATATACATTTGTCCTATGTTAATGAAATTTAACTTAGATCATTTTCTGTAGCAACATGGAGTGGCCTACATGTTTCCTTCTATATTTATGAAGAAGTTTCAGCATTCATTTTTTGAACAAAATATGACTTTTTTCAATTTTAGGTATAATATATATCGTAGATAAATAAAAAAGGATAAACTTATATACTGGCATAATGTCATCTAGCACTGCAATAAAATAGACCTAATCAAATCAACCCAAATGATCGTGAAGATGTATAAGCAAGTTCAACAAATTCAAGAGTTTTGTGCAAAGTAACCCCAGTTTGCAGTTTTTACTTTTTCTTAAGAGTGAGTGTGCAAGAACAGCTTTGAAGGACCAAACGGCCCCTTGTCATTCACATGTTATGTTATAAAAACAAATTCCCATGAATGGCATGTAGCCATTGAAAAATTGGGTGTCTTATAATCATAAAACGCTTGTCAAACAATTTAGAAGTATTTTTTAATTTATACTTTTTACTAACTTTCAAAATAAGCGGGTACCTGAAAACAAGGATTTTTACAATATATTAATTCCTTATGCAAATTAGTATCGGTCTTCTTCAAAAGTTAACTTAGTTCACTGTTTCTTAGTATTTAAAAACTTTTCTTTAGCACAATTACTCCTTTTATTTAAAACAACTAACATTTAAAATATCATAAATATACTGGTTAAGGCTTATAATATAGATTAATAAATACTGAACTGGAATTAAGATAGGTTCCCACACACACACACACACACACACACACATCCAAACTTTTAAAATAGTGAGCTGTTCATTATATTGCAACAAATGTTACAAGACATATAAATAAAGATTTACATTTTCAAGATACATAACACAGAACATGTAAACATCTCACAGACAATACCTAACTTGAATACCTTTCTTAATCAAGACATAACACAAACTGGCCTTGCCAGTCTTTATGTTACAAGGACATTCTTGTTGATCACTTACAAAACATACATTTAAAAACAAACTTTATATCATCTATGATGTGAACAGAAAAATAACATTAAAACTTTCCTCAACTCAATGTCCAAAATTGATAAAAATTTAAAAAGTCAAAATATTAAATAGCCTGGAATGTAAACTAATCTACAGGTATAAGGTTCAACAGAAGTAATCAGTCTTAACTAGTAGCCTATACCAGGAGTTCTTACTTCTTACTTTTTCAATCTGAAACTCCCTTTCGTGAGCATGAATACAATCAAGACCCCAATTTTTTGTGAGACTAAAAATTAAAATGAAATAATTACAACTCTAAGAAATGCTTATACAATATTTCAGTTCTACATATAACTTTAAAACAACCATAAGGCATATTCAATACTAAAAAAAAAGGCAAGGCATGGTCTAGTAGTTAGCATGCCTCTGCTGTGAGTTGAAGAGTTCAAAGTTTGTATCCCATAACCACAAAAATATGTTCAGTACTTCAGTGCCATAGATTTACTAAGAGAACGACAGTCACATTGCATTGTTTGGTCTAACGAGAGTAGCTTAAGTGTTGGCAAAGGGTGTTGTTGGCTACCTGCCTTTTCTCTAGTCTGTCAGTTCAAAATTAGGAATGGACATGAACAGATAGCATTCGTATAGCATTGTGTGAAAATCTGAAACAAACTAAAAAGAAAACAAAGGACACATTTACCCTATAGCACAACCAGATAGTAAAGAGGTTGTAAAGTTGAAGCAACTCTTTTTGAATATATTAGGTCCTAAAAAAAACTGAGATTTGTTGCATCTTTTCAAATTATTCGAGATTCCCTTTGGAGCCTCCCACAGTTTGAGAGCATCTGGTCTATATGATCACTAAATTTAATTACTTATTAATTACTTTTGTTGTTATTAGTAACTATTTAATAAGTAGACTTAGGTGAATGTATACACTACTAACCATGATGGCAACTTGTATCTGATTCCCATAACCCTACTACAAGTAATTGGTTTACTTGTTAATTATATAAATCAGAGTAGGTGGATGTTATGACATCCCTACTGTTAATCCAAATGTGTGGACCACTTTATATTTTACTCATCATCATTGCTTCTTTAAACGTACTGATTTTGTTTCAGTCTCATGTAATAAGGTGCTTAACTTATTTTCTCTTGATAAACTTATTGAGATTTAGAAAATATCCAGAGAATCAATGGGATAAAGGCCTTTGATTTCTTTGTGCTATATTGTGAAGATAACAGCATGAAAGGACACCAGCTTAAGATTGGTTAAAAACAGGTTAGGCTCCAGTTAAGACAGTATTATTTTTCTAAGATGGTGAGTGACTTATAAAATGAGGTGCTGTTTGCAGTAATGGAAGCTAGAATTTTACAGGAGTTTAAGATGGGAATAGATGAGTTCCTCAATAACAAAGGGTGGGTTAAAATTCTAACTTGTCTCAAAATGAGTAGACAAGAATAGCCTTAAAGGACCAAACTGTATCTTGATTCATATTTTATATTATGATATTTCATCCTATTGGAAAAACATAAAAACACCTGTCTTATAATTTCATTTGACCAGTATCAGTTAGCCTGATAACATAATCAAGAGTTCATGACTTTAATGTTTTAAACATAGCAAAGCCCATGTTTCAATACTTTAAAAACACTATAAAACTACATATGCTTTGGGACTAAAACCTATAAACCAGAGGGTATATTATTCGGAACCAGAAGTGTAGATCTAGTACTACTAGTACTTTTGTATAACTTATACTACAAGAACTTAAAACTATCTGTTTTTGTCTGGTTACTAACCATGAGGATTATTTCCAAAAGAAACTATTAACAAAAATACTAAAAATTAACTATAAAATATGGCACTCACAATGTTGCGTGTAACTTTTACTTATTACATTTTGTCTGATGTGTCTTGACCTACACAATATTAAAATACAAATGGCACTGTCACTGGATTAGTTTGATTAACATCAATCATTCACTGATTCAGTGCACAAGTTTTGAATAAAATATTAAATGTTAAAGATATATTACTTTTCTTTTGGCTCAACTTATTAAAATAAAGTATGTATATCAGTAAAAATGACTCCAAATTAAAATTAAATAGAGCATGAATTTAAAATGTCTCAACATTAGCTTGTAAAAAAAATCTGATTCAATGTCAGTATTGTCAGTTGTCACCAAACACAGAAAGTCGATCACTTTAATACAACTATTTACTACTAGTAGTACTACTTTACTAACGTTAGTAATACTGACACAGTGACAGTACTACGTAATAACAGACAGTAGAAACGTACTTCTATATTAAAGCCAGTGATTTACTTACCAGATTTGAAATAAAATGTGCTATCGCTATCACTTGAAACATCTGTAGACGATTCTGTAGCACTCATACTTAAAACCTTAATTTAAAACTCAAACTTAGAACAAAATCATTGACACTAAGAATTCCTCTTTTCTGTTAATGTTACAGCCATGTTCCCTTCGTGACAACGACGCTAGTGATTCATTGGTTGAAACTAAAAATAACAATGATAAAATTGTCAATCTTGAATATATCACTGAAACTTTACTAAACACTTGAATATTTATTTTCTAATGTTACTTATCATATATTTCTTACTTTTAATGCCCAGTGGGATGGGAAATAGAAACTGGGAGGGAGTTTATGCGCGGATTATTTACGTACTTCACACCATGGGGTAGTTTCTTACTAGCATGCATTTCGATTTAGATATGTGTAAAACAGAAAAAGACAATCAACAGAAAACAATAACATATACAGGGATTTTTTTAATTAATAATGGCAGATTCTGATTTTTGAACAAAAGAAACGACTTTCCTCTTTTAAGCCAGAGAAACAGAAAACTTATGTAGGGTATATTCAGGACTCCAATGCCTTCATATAATTATGTTTGTTTGTTGTTGTTGTTGTTGTGATATGTATATGTACACAGCGTGGTCATAAGTAAATAGACACCACCTTTTCAGAAGAAAAATGAAAATTTTCAGTCATATCCACATGAATTGATATATTTATAATTTAATTAATATCTAGTAGATATTCCTTTCGCTTCGTGGAGTTCGTTGATCCTTTGAGGCATCGTGAGAATCATCTCGTCAATTTTAGATTGTGTGATTTTCGCCCACTCTTGCTTCAAAACTTGGAGTAAATCGCTCTTCGAAGTTGTTTTTTTGTTGTTGTTGTTTCTTGACTTGCCGGTCGAGTATGGCCCAAAGGTTTTCGATGGGTTCATGTCAGGAGATTGGTTCGGTCAGGGCAACTTCTGGATACCATTTTTTCCTGCCACTTTTGGGTGTTTCTAGCAGTGTGACAAGGTGCTCCATCTTCCTGGAAACCCGGGGAATAAAGT